GAAAACAGTGCAACAGTGAATGAATGAAAACCCAAAATTTCTGTAAATGTTCATTAAAACTAATAAAATTTAATTTAAAAAATTTAAGACTAAATAATAAAAAAAGTATGCTAGAAAATAAGTGTTTAGGGTATCAGAAGATGCCAAAGTAAAGCTTAGAAAAATGAACGGTCTGGAAAAATGGTTGGAGGCCATTCAGATCCTGGGTAGTGGCTCTTTTCCACTGGGTCAATAGGTAAAATCATGATAGATGGAGAAGAAATCGAAATTGCCAATTATTTCATCTTGCTTGGATTTACAATCAACATTCTTGCATGAGGAGCCAGGAAACCAAAAGAGATACTACAAGGACCTCTCCAAAGTGCTGAAAAGCAATGATGTCATTTTGATGACTAAGGTGCATCGAATCCAAACCATAATCTTTTCAATTAGTTCCTACGCAGCGGGAAGTTTGATAATGAACAAAGATTTCAGAAGAACTGATGCATTTGCTTTGTGGTGCTGGAGAATAGTGCTGGGTATCCCATGGACTGCACAAAGTACAAATATCATGGCAAAGTGAGGCCATGGTGCCCCTTGGAGCCAAGGATCATGCCGCTCGAGCATATTGTTACTTTGGACATGTTGTTAGGAGGGGCAAGTCTTTGGAAAGAGACATCATGCTTGGAAAGATCAGCGAAGGAAAGGAAGACCTTCAACGAGACGGACTGACTGTAAGTGACTGTAGTGGAGGGTGTCAGAGATGATGACAGAATAGGACAGAGTTCAGATCTGTTGTTCATAGGGTCTTTGTGAGTCGGTGGCACTAACAACATTGTCGGATGTCCTCGCTGCGGTAAACCCGCAAGCGTCCTACACCCGACTGCAGCGAAAGCGCACCGGGAGAGCTCGGACGCCCTGTCCCGCCCACCGGCACTCTGCTGGCCAATGACACCTCAGAACGTCTCCAGACCCCTCCTCAGCTCCACAAATGCAGGCCAATGGGCCAATGGTGTCGGGAATCCATTTCGCCCCCCCTTCCAAGCCAAGCAACTTTGTTAGCTGCGGACGACTCACAAGAAACCTATGAACATCAGATGGGAATACTTTTCTATCTTGTGCCATCCTCATAATCTTTGACACATTTGAGGCAATTGCTGCAGTTGCATGGTATCCTTTTCCTAGGAAGAGCCTCTCTTAGCAACATGCACAAAGGATGTGAGACGTAGCTTTGTCATCCTGGTCTCCGAGGAGCACTTCCGAGGAGCACTCTGGCTGCACTTTCTTTGGCAGACAATAGGCTATTGAGCACCCTTCTCTAACTCTACAGTTCAGAGGCATCAATTCTTTTTTCATCTTCCTTATTGTCCAGCTCTCAGATGCATAGCAAATGACTACTGCCGACCAATTGCGCGCCAAGCCATCACCAGCTCCACACCTTCTTGCCTATTCATTCCATTTGCTCCCGAGTTACCGACGAAAGCAGTTATTAGCCATCGCCTCTCACTGTCGCCGCCATGCTTCCAGCCAATAGTGAGAAGTGGTTCTACCCACCCCGCCCTGCACGCCCGGCCACCGACCAATGATAAGCAGCCTGGTCAGCCCCGCCCACCACGCTTGCTCGGCTCTTTTCCAGGCTTCACCCTGCCCCTTATTTCCAGCCAATGGCGCCAGTAGACACGTCCCGGCCCCGCCCCTCCCGGCCCGCTAAGCCTCTCAAGCTTTGTCTTGGTCCCGCTTCGCGCGTGCGCTCCCTGCGATCCGAGTGGCAGACGGCGATTGGCGGTGGAGGCGCAGCCAATCGGAAGGCGGCACCTCACGTTCTGGTCGCAGAAGAGGAAGTGCCGGCGGCAGGCCGCGGGAGTGTCCACGGCCGCGTTGGAGCAGCCAGTCCTGGAGCCCTGTGCCCGGGGACCCGGTAACTGAGTAGCCGCCGTCATGCGGCTGGGTACCGCGCGCCTTCTCCTCTTGCTCCTGGCGCAGGCGCAGCTGCTGGCCGTGGTGTGCACGGAGGAGCTGGGCGCAGGTGAGCGCGTGGGCAGTTGCGCGGAAAGGGCGCAGGTGTGCGGGGATGGTCCAGGTGTGCGCGGCTTGTGGGTAGGTGTGCGGGGATGGTCCAGGTGGGCGCGGCTGTGGGCGCTTGGCGCCCGGAGGCCGCGGGGTCCCGGGACGGGGAGAGTGCCTTGGGGTATCCTGTGTGCACGTGAGCCGCAGTTGGGGGTGGGAGCCCGGACGCGGGTCCTCTCTGGCTCCAGTGTCCGACCCCTGGTCAGGAGCTTTGGAAATGTGACTGCTCGTCTGTCTGGGGCAGCACCTGTTTCCTGCACTTCCCCGCCGATCTCGGCTATTGCCCTGTCTCATCCCTAACTTTTCCTTGGCAGTTTTGCGCCAAAGTAAATAAGCCTCGTTTTCAAACATTCCCCGGCAGAGAAGCGTGGACTTTATCCTCTGAACAGGTTGGAGAACTTGTGTGAGACCCACGCTGGGGGAACCACCTGTGTCTGCCAGCGTTGCCCACAAGAGGGTTTCAGGACCCTGGACGACTCTCAGAATAGACCGATTCCGATACTACGTGCAGGCAGTCTGTATTTTAAGCGCCTTCTTACCGCACTCAGGTGTGGCTCCAAATTAGTGGGGTGATGGTGCTTTCTGGCCCAGCCCGGCTGCTGGAGGGAAGAGCCGCAGCCTTGAGGTGGTGTCGGTAGTTTAAGACCAGTCACGCTGGGCTCGTGGTGACGGGCAGCAGTCGCCCTATTCCAGGGGAGGGTCACGTGTGTGGGTGCAGGTCGCCTGCAGATTCAGTCCCACCCTGGGAGCCGTGGAAGCCACTGGTGCTTCTGCCTTCCCCTTAAAGGAGTATTGGCCCCACAGGCCGCCTCCATTGTGACTTGGTGGAACAAGCAGTTTCAGCTGAGCGATCTTGACCAGGCAGGGCTCTCCCTCAGGCAGGAACCTATTTTCAGAAAATCAGTTTGGAGGAACTAAAAGAGGAGGGGCTGTCGTCAGAACAGGAACACAGGGCTCTGAGAGGGATAGGTCTCATTAGGAGTAGAAGGCAGGACCCAGGCCTGAAAGGGGCCTCGTTGCCCTCAGTGCCCTCAGTGCCCCTGGCCTGGTGGACCCTGCACCCTGGTACCCAGACCTCTGCAGACAACAGTCAGGCTCAGAGTGTGGGCATGAACAGGCCTGCAGGGCCAGGCTGGGGCTCCGCAAGGCTGTCTGCTTCCTGACATTCCATGTTTCTGCTCAGATTCTTCTAGTATAGAAGATGACATTGAAGATGAGGACGAGGAGGACGACTCAGAGGTCAAAGAGGAAAGCGGTGTTCTAGTCCTAAACGACGAGAACTTTGACACTTTTGTGTCGGACAAGGATGTGGTGCTGCTGGAGTTCTATGCACCCTGGTGAGCGCTGGGTATTCACTGCACCAGGTTGGGGCTCATGGCCTCAGATTGCACCTGACGAGTGGCTGGAGGGGTTCATACACCACCAGCAACTCTGAGTGTGGTCACGCGTGCTGCCCTCCTAGCTCCGATGCTAATGTCCAGGAGCCGAGGCCCAGCTTGGAGGGTGATGATGGTGTCAAGGAGCGCCAGCCGCTTCCTGCCAGCACTCTGAGTAGTCTGAACAGCATGTTCCCACTCTGTGCGAGTCAGCTAGCACCATCTTATCCCGGTGTCCTCCAGCTCCTGTCCCATCGCCTTTGTTTCCTCTGCCCCCTACCTCCTGTTTTTGAGCCAGTGTCTTGAGGACATGCAGGTGGTCTGTGAACCGCCTCTGGTCCAGTAGTACACAGGTGTCTTGTTAGACCCCGAATTTGGTCACATAGACTATGCTCCGGCAGATCCTGGGACCTTTGCCACTTTGTGTAGAACTCCAGAGAGCTGTACCTGTCCAGCATCTGCTGTCTTTGTCCAGTTCAATCACAGTGACCCCTCACGTGTGTGCGCAAGCACCCTGGCAGCTCCTGTGCACCAAGTGGTGGGAGAACGGTGTCTGGGTACAATGTTCTGACCTCACAGACCACTGGCAGTGTCTTGGACAGAAGCTGAGAAATGAAGGTGTAAAGTCTGGTGGTCGCTGAATGGACCCAGTGTTTGAGCACAGCTCTGTCCTCTCGGTGCTCTGGCTACCCAGTGCTGTCCTCGGGATCTCCAGCTCCCCGTGGCACTATTGCTGATGAGGTCTTTGAGACCCTGATACCTCATTTCTATGAACACTTGAGGACTTTAACCTCCTGTGTTTCGGCCTTAAATCTTGCTCTAGGTGTGGACACTGCAAGCAGTTTGCTCCAGAATACGAGAAAATTGCTGAGACACTGAAGAGTGATGATCCTCCCATTCCTGTGGCCAAGATCGACGCGACCACAGCCTCTGTGCTGGCCGGCCGGTTCGATGTGAGCGGCTATCCCACCATCAAGATCCTCAAGAAGGGACAGGCCATCGACTACGAGGGCGCCAGGTCCCAGGAAGGTGAGGGGCCAGAAAGCTTCTGGGTGCAGAGGGGTGAGGATTGGATGCAGGCGACCGACCACTGGAATTCTCTAGAGGAACAGAGGGTGAGGTGGCCGGCAGCATGGACCACAGGCTTGGGCACTGTACCATTTCCGTGTCACGTTTGAGCCTGGTCCTCCACCCTGCAAATTCTGGCGTTTGCCCTTAACATTGCTTCCCTGATGGATGAGGCCTACTTTACTTGGTCAGCAGAACACCATCCCAGCAAACCTCAGCCTGTGTCTGTTCAAACGGCTGAGCACCAGTCACTGGGCCGGGTGGCCACACAGTCACCACCAGAGACAAGGAGGAAAAAAAAATGTGAGAACCTGGAGTCTTCTGGTGCCCTGAGCTCTCTGCAGGGTCCTGTCCAGACCTGTGGGGTTAAAAAAGCCAGAGGCTAGAGGTCAGGGCTCAGGTTCTACAGGAAAAGGAGAAAGGACGTTACAGACACTGTTTCTACTGTCCTGCGAGAAGTTCCTTAGTGGCATGTGAGCTCTGTCCTGTCCTGAGTCTACGTCCTCAGTGTGCAGGCAGCACCAGTTATGGCTTGAGCCCTTAGGTGCCTCCCAGTGGTCTCAGTGTGCAGTCACACAGCTCCATTTTTTCCAGAAATTATTGCCAAGGTCAGAGAGGTTGCCCAGCCTACTTGGACACCCCCACCTGAAGCCACACTGGTGCTGACCAAGGAGAACTTTGACAGCGTCGTAGACCAGGCCGATATCATCCTGGTGGAATTCTATGCCCCATGGTAAGGGGGTGCTGTGTCAGAGGGTCCTCTGGGGGGGACAGGCCACCAGGATGTGGTGGTCTGGGGTCCTCAAAGTCCAGAAGGATGCGACAGCCTCCCCCAGGATGGAAACTTTTCCAGTCTGAGGTCTGGCTGTAGTAGGCTTGTGGCTGGTCCAGCCCTCACTTCACCCTCTGTGCTGGGCTAGCGACAGACCCATTTCTTGACTGGGAGGGGCTCCCCTCCCGCTGTCTGAGCATAGGATCCCCTTCCTGGCCCCTCCCACTTCTGCTGTGTCTCTCCCTCTTTTCTTGATTCTGTTGACCTGTTGTCTTGGGTCCAGAAGGCCTCCTCCCATGGGGGCTGACTCATGCCCTTTGGTGTTTGTGGTAGCCACCTCATGGCTTTAGTGGCCAACAGGACAGAGCTGCAGTTCTGGGGGATATGTTACCTCAACATCCCTGAGTCTGGTTCCTTGGTAGGTGTGGACATTGCAAGAAGCTGGCTCCTGAGTACGAGAAAGCTGCCAAGGAGCTTAGCCGGCGCTCACCCCCAATCCCCCTGGCCAAGGTCGACGCCACTGCAGAGACAGACCTGGCCCAGCGCTTCTCTGTCTCTGGCTACCCCACTCTCAAGATCTTCCGCCGTGGGAAGCCTTTTGACTACAATGGCCCCCGGGAGAAATATGGTAGGAGGCCGAGGGCGGGCGCCTGGCTGGACATGCAGATGTGGGTGAGTGTGGGCAGAGAGGGTCCTGGCAGGTGGTTTGAGACCACCCTCCTTGCTCCAGGCATCGTGGACTATATGGTGGAGCAGGCCGGGCCTCCGTCCAAGGCAGTCACAGGACTGAAGCAGGTGCAGGAGTTCCTGAAGGACGGGGATGATGTCATCATTATCGGTGTATTCAGGGGACAGGATGACCCAGCCTACGCGCAGTACCAGGAGGCGGGTGAGTGGAACCTGGGCCCGTCGCTCTGCCTACCGGTGTGGGTAGTCTCAGCAGCACAGGCCCCATATGCGACCCTGCAGGCTGGGCTTCCTCCACGTGCGTGATGGGCAGGGCCCTGTCTCTATCTGCAGCCCCTTCAGTACAAGTGTTGAAGGGCCCAGGGGCTCAGAGCCAGGAAGAGACCAGTGTTTGGAGGTCCTGGGGAAGACTGGTGTGTTTAATTTTGCTGACACTCTGAGGGAGCTTTTTTGTGAGCTGCTAGAAGTAGCCTAAAGGTCATGAGCCCTGGACTGTGGAGAACCAGCCCAGTGTTCCAGTCCCAGGACCAGCCTGGCCCGGGCAGGAGAGGAGGAGGTTGCTGGACAGGGACATGTGTGAATAAAGTTTTCTTGGCCCCTGTTGCTCCCGAGCTGGTCCACAGAGCCAGAGGTGCTCACTGCCCAACTCTTGCAGGGGAGCTACCAACTCCTCCTGAGTCTCTTTAGACGTGGAGCTTTGGCTCTGGAGTTGCCCAAGAACTGAAAAGGTGTAGGTTACAGAAACCTGCGTTCAGGGCTCATGGCCAGGGAATGTGTGTCGCAGGAGTCATGGGCAGAAAGTCATTCTGTTAATTAGGTGCTGTCTTGGTGTCACAGGTGGTGGTTCCTGGTGGCTCTGCCGTGGGCTTGTATGACACTTGTCTTCTTTGTTTCGCAAACTCTGAAGTGCACACTCAGGCACCCCGCTGTGGGTCTGCTTGCCTGGCATCTGGCTGACAGGTGTGTCCAGGTGGCGGCTTCTCATGGTCATCTGGTCCCTCCTTTAGCCAACAGCCTGCGAGAGGACTTCCGGCTGCACCACACTTTCAGTGCTGACGTTGCCAAGTTCCTAAAAGTAGCCCCAGGAACGCTGGTGGTGGCACATCCCGAGAGGTTCCAGTCCCGCTTTGAACCCAAGAGCCACGTGATGAACGTGCAGGTGAGTGTCAACCTGGGTGACATTTCAGGGCCTGGGCACCTGGGGTCCCCACTGTGCCTTATCCCGAGTGAATGGAGACCCCACTGCCAGAACCCTCTTTCTGATTCCCATCTCATGTCAATTCTGAGTCCCACTCTTCTGTCATTGAGAGACACACAGTGGGGACTTGACCATCTCGTGGGTCTAGGAAAGGCTGGTAGTCAGAATCAGGCTCCGGGAGCACTTGTCATCCCCTGCATGTGTCGTTCAACCCAGAGCCTTGGGCGTGGGACACCCTCTTGTGTGACCTCTTAACCATCAAAGTCAGGCCCTTGTTCCAAGCAGGGCCACATCCCCTGCACAGACCCTGTTGCCGCTAGTCTTTGGGGACACAGCACTGGTGTTGAGGCACAGAGGAGCCTGACTCTATCTCTACGGCCGTGGTCTTCTCTGGACCAGAGGATGTGAGTTGGAACTGCAGCAGGTCCTGCAGTCAGTGCAGCATCCACTGGCACAGCTGGTTGGCCTCCTGTGAAGCTGGGTGTGCTTGCCCAGCTCACTTGGTGCCCTCCTCACACCAAGCCTGACTGCTCCATGAGGGAAACTGGAGATAAGTGTCCTCTTACAGCCCTTCTCTTCATCCCAGGACTCTACACAGGCCTCGGCCATCAGGGACTTTGTGGTGCAGCACGCCCTGCCACTGGTTGGCCATCGCCGGGCCAGCACTGAGACCAAGCGCTACACCCGGCGACCCCTGGTAGTGGTCTACTTCAGCGTAGACTTCAGCTTTGACTACAGAGCTGGTGAGCAAGGGCGGGGCACCAGGAGGGTGAAGGGACAGGTCCAGACCACATCACATCTATCCCATTCCCCAGCCCTGACAGTTCTGGGATCACTCAGGAACACCCCTGTTCATCCTGTCCCACCGTTGCAGTTCTGGGGTCACTCAGGAGCACCGCTCTTTATTCTGCCCCTTAGCCACACAGTTCTGGCGGAACAAAGTTCTGGAGGTGGCCAAAGACTTCCCTGAGTACACCTTTGCCATCGCCGATGAGGAGGACTACGCCTCAGAGCTGAAGGATCTGGGGCTTGGTGAGAGTGGGGAGGACGTCAATGCAGCTGTGCTGGATGAGGGTGGACGCAGGTTCGCCATGGAGCCCACTGAGTTTGATGCGGATGCTCTGCGTGACTTCGTGGTGGCCTTCAAGAAAGGTGAGCGAGGGGTCATCTCCTCACTGTCCTGATGCCTTGGGAAGACCATCTGCACTGGCTCATGGATGTCCTTGTGACAGAGCAGGTGGCCAGGACAGGGACTGTGATGCCTCAGAGTCTGTTGTAGGGCAGTGTGAAGTGAGCAGGTGCAACATAGCAGTGCTGAGTCTGACTTCTCCTTGCTTCATAAGGGGAAACTTTCCCCATAGATAATAGCCGTAGTGCTACACACAAACTACTGCATCGTCCCACGAGCTACCTCACTGCTCCTGCATCTTTACCTACCAGTCACTGGACCAATCGGTAGCATCAGGATGGATGGTGAAGAGATTGAGATTGTTCACAGGTTCAGTTTGCTCGGCTCCACGATCAACACTCTTGGCACCAGCAGCCAGGAAATCAAAAAAGGAAATGCGATAGGAAAGTCTGCGGTTAGGGACCTCTCTAAAGTACTCAAGAGCAACGGTGTCTCTCTGGAGACTAAGGTGCGCCTGATACAGGCCATGGTCTTTGCAATCACTTGTTATGCATCAGAGAGTTGGACAATGACTAGGGAGGACAGAAGGAGAATTGACGCCTTTGAGCTGTGGTGCTGGAGAAGAGTATTGAATGTACCCTGCACTGCCAAGGAAACAAACAGATTCATCCTAGAGAGGGTTAAACCAGACTACTCCTTGGAGGCAAGGATTCTGGGGCTTCGTCTGACAAACTTTGGACATGTTGTAAGGAGAGACAGGTCCTTAGAGAGGGACATCATGCTGGGTAGAGTAGAGAGACAGCGCAGGAGGGGAAGACCCTCTGTGAGGTGGATTGATTCATTGACTGGGGTAATCGGGATGGGTGTGTCAGAGGCCATGAGACTGGCACAGGATAGAGCACGGTTTAGGTGGCTATGAGTTGCAAACGACTCGACGGCACATAACGACAACATTGGGTCCAGTGTTGCCTGTAACTTGACTCGGACTTGGCTCACCTTTCTGAGTTTATTAGGGAAATAGGTTGGGAGTGGAGGTTGAGGCAAAGAATATCACACAATGCAAGTTCAGGTTTAATCCAGCCATCCCAAACCGGATTATCAGCAAGACCCGATTCCTTAATTAGTTCGGACAGCTTCTCAGTCAACAAGTGAAAGTCTAGGTTCAGTTCGGCAGCACAAATAAACCTCTGGTTTCCTCAGTCATCCAGCAAACTATCTCAGAGCAGTTAAAAGTCAGCTTTTCATTCACTCATCCAGCAAGCAAAACTTAACTGTGGCACTTTCTCCAAGGTTCCTCTGGTTACACCTTGCCAGTAGTTACTTCACAGGAGTGCCACAGTCTCTCACAGCCTTCACAGTACCCCCCACAGCTTGGAAAGCATTCTCTTATATTGTTCCCACAACTGTTGATGATTTTGCAAGACCATGAAACCCAATAGGGCCAATGTCCAGAAAAGCAAGTTTTAAAGGAATTCTGACACCACAGGCAACCTCCTCCTGCCTGGGTGGTTGCTACAGCGTTTGTTAGAAAACATAACCACAATTTAGTAGGAGTCCAGCTCAGCACTGGTCACCCCACAGACAGCCATGTATACCTGGGAGCCAGATAATGTGGGGCGTGTGGAGGGTCCACCACTTGGGGCCCCACAGACTCATGCCCATAGCCCATTGTGGCTTCAGACCCACATGCCACCACCTCCCTAACCCTCGGTCTGTTTGTTTCTTTTTCTTTCTATTTTTCTTGGGTTTTGTATATAATTCCTTTACATATGTTTCATTCATATACATTGTCTTATACAACTTTCACTTACGTTGTGTTTTATGTAGTCTGTTTTACATTATCTTTTTTAATTGGTTTGATGACAAATTCATATGTGTTGTGTGTCACACTATTCTTCATTCATGATTGTGTTTCAATCATTTTCATGCATTATGTTTTATAAAATCAATCACAACTGGACCTTGGCGATCAGTTGTAAAATAGAAGCATTTCTAGTAAAACTTGTAGAGGGGTGAGGATGGGTAGGGGTGAAACCACAGGGCTGTGCTGGGGGGGAAGCAAATGGGAAGGATCTGGATGAATGATAGGGTAATGCTTGACGAGGTCCTATGGTCTCTACCTTTCTGACCCCTGAGCTCCACCTACCTGACCCCCAGCTCTGCTGCCCCTACCTCCAAGCCCCATCTGCAGCCTAAGCCCCACTTTCCTGATGCCTCGCTCCCCTTCCCAGGCTCTGAAGTTCTACCTCCCTGGCTCTGTCTCTTTTTCCCCCCCTTTTTTTCTTTTAATTTTGTGTGCCTGTGTATTTGTACTGTAGAATTGGATTTGGCTGGTACTGGAGGAGACTGCCCCTCTTTTTCCAGCAGAGCATCTGGTGGATTCAAGCTGCCTGTCTTTGGGCTTGCACAGCTTCTTGCCACTAGGCCACCAGAGCTCACCCTGGCTCTGTCTTGTCTTTAGCTGAAGAAGAAGCCTCTTACTCTCTTCTCATCTTAATATATATATATATATATTATTTTTTTTTCTTCTTTGTGATTTTTAAGCCATGCAATGTTCCTTTGTTCTATTGAGACAACTGCTTCTTGGACCATATAGAGGTTTTACATGAGCACAATTAAGCTTTCTTGGATTTCCATTCTTTTCAATATTAGCTATAATTTGTTACCATCAGCACAAATATTTTTGCAAAATCTGTAAAATACAAATAAATAACTTTCAAGTATTCTGTATCAGATGAGATCCATTCCAACATCAGCAATGACATCCCTTATGCCACAGAGCCTCTTCTGATTCCCATTTGAATTTCTTATATCCCCCACCTCCCCAGAAATCAATCAAGTAGGGAGTGAGAAAGAGACAGACCGATGTATCCAAAGATTTTACTGAGGTTTTGTATAATATCGTGGGGTTAGTAGACCCTGAAGCTCTTTTCTGCATGTAAGGTTTTCCAGGATATTATGGAGGGAAAAGCTCATAGATCTTTAATCCTATGTAACATGCCTGTGAAGCCCAGGAAGTGGCCAACTGTATTCACAGAGAACTGAAGCAATAAGAATTGTTATTTCTTGGAATGACTGCATGAAACACAATGTGAGAGAAGGACAGTATGAAACATAGTGTGTATGAACTCTGTTTGCAAACCAAAGCACAATTAAAAAAAAAAGAATTGTCATTTCAGAAACTAAATGAAATGACAGCTAGGAGAAATTGATGAGGCTAAGTCAGCAAAGTATGGAAGTAGCAATTTGGCTTTATGATAGCAACATAAAAGATATTCACTGTACATGAGCTATACATGTAGAGAATTTGAAATAATAATATTTGCAATAAGGATGAAAGCTTATGTTTAGCAATACCCACTTTAGGAAGTGAAAGTACTTAATACAATCATTTCAGAAATAGCACATAATCAAGAACAAATTTCACTGAAGGAAGAAGTCCAAGCTACACGAAAAGTATTATAAAGAACTTAAAAATTAATGAAATATCATTGAAGTGCTTAAAAAAACAGACATGAAGTTAGAAGAACTCACTTGTCTCTATAAGGTGTTGTAAAATTACTACCTAGCCAAGAGATCCATATTTATGCCCATTCCAAAGAAAAAATAGTCCAATAGACTGAGGATATCAAGGGTATCATCCAGGAAGAGTGCAAACAGTTATAGCAAAGACAGAAGAGGAAGACAATACCAAAATGTATGTCAGAAGAGACTCTGAAAATTGCACTGGAGCACAGAGAAGCCAAAGCAAAAGGAAGAGTTTAAGATACTAAAGAGCTGAATAAAAGATTTCAAAAGACAATGCAGGATGACAATGTAAAATATTACAATGAAATGTGCAAGGAGTTGGAGTCAGAAAATCAAAAGGACTGCACTTGCTCAGCATTTCTTAAGTTCAAGGAATTGAAGAACAAAGTCAAACTTCAAGTTGCTATAATCAAGGATGCTTTGGGCAGAATATTAAATGATCCAGGAAGTATTAAAAGAAGATGGAGAGAGTACACTGAGTGGCTGTATTGAAAGGAATTGGCAGACACAGAAGAATTTAATGAAACAACATGTGAGCAAGAGCCTATGGTGATGCAGGAAGAAGTTCAGGCTGCTTTGAAGGAAATGGCAAAAATTAAAGCCCCAGTAATAGATGGTATACCAATTGACATATTTCAGCTAACAGATGCTGCCCTAGACGTGCTCACCAAGTTGTGCCAAGAAATCTGGACAACAACCACTTGGCCAAGTGACTGGAAGAGATCTAAATTTGTTCCCATTTCAAAGAAAGCTGACCCAACAAAGTGTGGAAACTATAGAAAAATATTGATTTCACATGCAAGCAAGATTCTACTGAAGATTATCCAAAAATGACTGGAACAGCACATCGGCAGAGAACTGCCAGAAGGCCAGACTGGGTTTAGAAGGGGTCGTGGTACTAGGGATATTATGGCTAATGTTAGATGGATCTTAGCTGAAAGCAGGGAATACCAGAGGAATGCATATCTGTGCTTCATTGATTATGCAAAG